GCTTTCATTTTCAGTTTTGCCTATTCACTGCTGCTCCCTTTCTTTATGAATTTTAAATTTTGCTGCAAAAGAGCTTCATGAAAAATTAAAGTGTGATTGAGACAGCCTAACCACTGGGTTATATTTTTACAAATCGCCTAAGTCATTTATTTCTAAATTGAAATTGGTTTCATCGAATTTATTTATTTAATATTAAAACATCGTTATTCTTTTAGAACGCAATTTTTAATTTTAATACAAAATAAAAAAGCTAGAGAAAATTGCAGAATATCACAGCCATAGAAATTTTAAAAAATTATCAATGATTCGGAATGCTGTGTTTTACAGAAATGATAGATAATATTCCATTATGTTTTATGCCTTAAATGTTTTTAGTCATAGTTTTTAATGAAATTTCGATCAAATAAGGCTTGTAAGCTTCGATTAAGGTACTTTAAACAAGAAATTTATTTGTGATGAGGCGAAAATTGAAACAATATTGAAAAAATGAGAATTTAAGTAATATCAAAATAAGATATTTATTTTACAGAAAAGTTCGCGATATGTGGATGGCATTCTGAGGAAAAAGTGGCAATATTATAATAAATTACAGGTGAATAAGGGTTAACAACCAAATACTTTCTTCATTGTAATAAATAATGGATAGATTTGTATTTGAACCAGTATTTCAAGCATAATTTTTTTTAGTAATAGATAATTATAAAAAACTTAATTAAACTTAATTTTAAACTTAGTTTTAAAAAACTATTAAGTAGCTGTTTCAAGTCAATAATTATAAAACGATGAGAAAATTTTTTTCCCTTATGAAGGCCTTTCATGATCAATACCATCCTTCCTTGTATTAACCAGCCTGAATGAAAGTTTGCCACAAGCAGCTGGTTCATCTGTGTCGTTAGTCGCTCATAAACTGCTGTTAATTTCTTTAGCCAATAAAATCATGTCCGGAGCAGGTTCGCTATTTGTTTTATTTTAGATAAGCGATGATGATTTGGATTGTTTTATTGAAGATACGGAAGGAAATGTTGAAAGATCCTCATTTTCTGAAAAGAATTTGCTCAAAGTTTTCGAAGGTTCGATTTTCCTTTTAACTTTTCAAGATTTCGTCCGAAGAATTTCTCGAGTAATTATTATTGTACACCAATTATTAAATGTTTATTAACTTATGTAAGTTGTGATCATAGTGATTAACTAAGTAATATAAGAATCCGTTTAATTTAATTTCCTTGTACGCTACCGATTCTAATGAGATATATGCGAGCCATGATTTTATATTAATTTTTTATCCGACTTTCAGAGGCTTCTTCATTTCTTATTAGCAAATAAGACAGGATATTTAGATGCTTACTTTGGAAATTAACTGTACTTAAAATGTTATCGCAGCATCACATCAAATCTTGCTTACTTCACAGAGCCCTGAGGTTATTATCATAACTATGGTGATAACTGAAAAATTCTAACAGTTTCGAGGGCTCAAACCTGTTTGCAAACATGGGCGAGCACAAGAAGCATTACACTCATTAAGTATTATAAGTGCAAAAATTTCTACAAGAGTTGCTTTGAGCCTTACCGAAACAAAAAAATTTTAAAAAGTTCCAAAGTGGGCGAAATCATGTGAGTAATTGTGAGTATTCGGCACTTAATCAAAATCTTTGGCAAGAATGATCAAAGGTTTTTTGATAAATTCCTCATTGACCAATTTTCATACAACAAGATTATGCATGCTAAAAAAAGACAAACGTGAATTATCATTTTGGGGTTGATTTTGCCTGAAAGAAGAAAGCTTTTAGTCACGGCTATTTGAACTGAAACTACACCTTTCACTTAACCATTAGATATGAAAAAGAGCCAAAGATATCGAAAATCTGATAAGGGATCTATGATGAAAGGGTTTGATCATTTTGGCAAAGTGTTAGCTTCCGAGGCACATGATACCCATAGCATAATAGCACTGTGGTAGATGCTACAAGTCTACGAACCGAGCATCGTAAAACTATATCATAGAAAATAAAATGAGCTCTCGAGTGCTCGAAATTTGTATTTGCCGTAGCAGACTCAGAACGTCAGAATCCTCATGGGTCATCATGAGTCATATGAACATTGCCCACACTTTGACCAAATGTCATATTGGAAATCCTCTCATTCCAGATCTCCAACAGAAACCTGATTCCGAGCAGAGATGATGATTGAATTATTGTTGACCTTCGAACAACTATCGCTATATCTGAAAGAGCTTGATCCAATCTCACTGAAACTCAGTTAAAGACAGTATGGCTCGCCTGATTCAAAAGGAAGTTCTGACTACTGTATATGCTTACTTTGTGCGCAGATGATAGAGATAGATTCATGCGGAACTCCAACTTCTAACATCTCTTCCAATGGGTAGCAAAGTCATAGCTCGCAAAGATTGGAATAAAGACGCGAGTTGCCACAATAGGATGTGTGATTTCAAAATATGACATCGGCATCCGATACTCTAATTAAGAGCACATTCTGTACTTTACCATAGGAGTAGAGACTTTTTGCTAAAAAATTCGGGAACAATTACCGCTCTTCAAACCGAATCGAGATCGAAATGCTTCATTGGAGCGAATATTAACGACATAGCTGGAACGGCCGATGAATATTCCAACTAAAAGCTTATCTATGAAAATCGGCCAAATTTACGGAAGCAACAGATTTCAAAAGCAACACCAACTGTTTGAAATGACTGTCAGAGAATACTTTTTAAGAGATTCTATATGCCGATGCTCCGAAGGCATGCGACAAGCTGTATGACCGGTCAGAAGTCGTTGCTGGAGTGGTTTGGCCCTGAATATGAAGATGATTGCTCAAGTAGGTGGTAATAGAAAACAATCCCACCTTCTTCATAAAACAACTGTAACTCAAGAAATGGCCAGTGAAATGATTGAGGATAATGTTGAGTAAATTCTTGAGGCCAAACTCAATTGCGATATGCCATCTGTCGCCCTATACATCGTTGAAACTGGCTGAACCATATATTTGCAACTGCCTCCGCTAGCACAACAAATAATCTCCGTCATTCAGAAGCTCAAAGCCAATAAAGCTTCCAGAGAAAACAGTCTCCCGGCTAAAGTCTTCAAATTTTATATTATTTAACTTTCTTCGCGATTCGCCTTCAATAGACGTACTCTGTGGTAGGGAAGAAATAACTAATACTAGCTGACTGGAGGAAAGCAATCCTGCTTCTAAATCCACAAGAAGAGTGGTTGGGCGTACTGTGCAAACTCACGATGAATTATCACACTAGGTTTGCATGTATTTGACTACAAGGTATATCAATTTATGTTATATAACTGTGAAACATGGCCAATGAGCGTGGAAGATATTAAGAAGGCTATCAACCTTTGACCACTCTTGCCTAAGATTCACTTTACTTGCTCGCCAAACTTCCACACCTTTGCATCCATATTCGCCCTAATACTGCAATATCGTCAGAGATTGTTGTTTACACTGATTAGGCTATGTTCATCCATGCCGCTGGAATTAACGCACGGCTTGCTAAAGCTTACAACATTAGAGAAAAGAACCAATTAAGAACTGGACTGACATAGTGAACAGAGATTTTGAACGACGATTCATTGGGCTTTAAACGATGGACAAAAAAGTGGTTTTTCACACGCTCTCTTACTTTCATACTCTCATTTACATCAAATCGAGCAGCACCTTATCTTTTTAGCTGACGTTTGACTAGTAATAATGAGGGCCATTAAAAGAAGATCTGGTACTTCTTCGATCGGTGATAGATTCATAAAACTAGGCTTTAAATGACTTTAACGTGAAGAAATGTGTTTTAAAAGCGTTAAGTTTCATTATGTCATTTCCCAACAGTTTTGTTTCTTTTAAACTTCCGAATTAAAGTAAACATTCGATTCTCGATTGTTGGTTCGCTTTCATATGACTCCAAAGCCTCCACGTTTCATTCATTCTAAGGATATTAGATTATTTATTGTTAGCCAGCCAATTTTTTAATTGTTACAAAAAATAAGTTAAATGGCTAACTGCCAACATAAACCCCAGTGGGATGTTTTCATTCATTTAAAAGCTGTAAAAAAGTGGTCCGCGTTTCTCTATGAGGGAATTAAACTGTTTGTCAGGTTCGGAGATTTTGAATTTTGATAATAGCTTCAAACATCTGAAATGAACTCTCATGAACTCTAGAGTGATATCATCTCTATCTTAGGAAGCACTGTTTAACCATTTGACCAATTTAAAATACTAGTAAGTTTACAGTTCGATATATCGAGATTATCATTAGCGGTCGATTTGATGAAAAATTTAAAACGAATGCCTTAAAATGGAATTGAATAGAATGGAATTCATTGTTTAATGCAACAGAATAATGAATAAATAAATGAATTTTTTGATCAAATAAACTGTATAATTTGCATTCATTTATTCTTGAAAAAACACGCTGCATGTTTTACGTTAAAATATTCAGTTATTTTTAAGGTTGAATTTTTTTTTGTAATTATTTATATTTATTTATACAAACAGAGGTTTCAGTCAAATTCAAATTTTAGTTTCTTGCACTACAACTCGCCCAATGAACTTGCACCATTATTTATTTACTAATTTAATTTAGCTTGTAATCGAATTGATCAGATCGTTGTTATTGTGAAAGATTTCCATACAATGATTCACTTTTCCAACAAAAAACGACCACACCTTATTCGAGGTAAGCGTTATTTTTGCTGAATTCGCTTAGATAAGTAGTGCAGTTGTGCTCATCATTTTTGGTCTTGCTTAAGACTAAATATTTTTTAATAACAACAGGGTCCTTGACGCTCAAGGCGGTAATTTGAATAACAATTGCTCGGCTATTCTGCCTTATGCCTGAATTAATTCGAAGCCAAACCAATTCTTTTTAGTTTTAATCAAACATTTATTCGTTAAGGATAATTCGAAACTTACCTTTGAGAAAGACTGGATCATAGAAATGAATTCATTTATAGAATTGTTTCAAAATTGCAGATTGGTCCATGTATCATAAGGGAGGATATATTGGCCATTTCTTATCGATAGTGCCCCTTTCCCTTATACAACGATTGACAGCCTTCTCTTTACATGTCGATGTAATGCGTGAAACATTCGCTGACCTGTGGTTTCCATGTCCTGTTGAAGATTTACGATACAGTGTGGAAAATTTAGCTGAAGCCAATTTTGAGACATTTATCCAGGTTCAGCTTTCTTGTTTTATTATGGTGATAATTTCCGTTCATTAAGGTTCGCAAATTTCTTTTACAAGGATAGCCTATATTAAAATCTTATTGAGATTTGGGACTAATTCTATACCATGTATTAAGGATTTTTTTGTTCTATCATAATTTTTCAGATATCATTTTGTACGGCTACGGTTTCAGAAAAAGATTATATCAATCGAAATAAATTAATGAGAGGAATGGAAGTAGCACTCAAAGAGGTTGCTGAAAAAGGAGCAAACACAGACTTCGGATTAGGTTAGTAGTTTCTATTCACCTTTCCTATGCGTTGTGAAAAATGGTAACGTGCTAAAAAAAATTTCATTGAAGTTCAGATTGTGATGAAGGTTATGTGGATATGACCGTGTTGAAAGGAAGAATGGAATATTCTTTTGCCTTCTTTTACTACAACCCTGACATGTGCGAGTTGTCATTGGTTTCGAAATAACTGGATTTTGGCTTCTAACTCTTAACGATAATTTTCCCATCTAGCGCTACGATTCAGATTTTGCCTGGATTATCATATAATTTTATATAATTTATAATACAATTTCATAATGGTTAGATCATCACAGAAATTTAAAGATTGCATTTCTGTTTTTATAAAACATTTTTTTTAAAGTAGAAATTCCGAATAAGCCTATTTGTTCCCCTCATTAGTTCCAAATCAGTGCTTTTTTGTCAGTACAATTGGGTCAAGAATGACTTTATCATATTATTCCTAGATATAAAAAAACATATGTTATTCAATTTTTCAGTATGTGCATTTATTTTTATGAGGATTGTATTGTATAAAATATGCCTGCAGTATATTTCTAATTTCTATTATTTTGCCAAAAAATTTTTACTCTTGCTGTTTTGCACTTTTGCACTTTTCTCGCCTTTTTCCAGCAAAACTTTTCTTTGTTAAATATTTGCAAGTGCTGCATGTTATTGCAAGAAATAAAAATTTGAAAAGCACAACACAGGGAAACAAAACTACGTAGTTATTTGTGTTTATCAAAAAATTGATTAATGGATGCTATAAAGATTTTCGCAGCTAATTCTCATTGTCAGGCACTTCGATCTTGTAGGACAATTATTTGGGACAGTTAAACAATCAGGATAAATCGGTCGGTATATTACATCATATTAGATGAATTGATATATTATATTAGATGATAGTGCATCTGAATGACACAATATGGCAGGGGTCGTGCGTGAAAAGAATAAAAATATTGGTCGATATGATTGATTTTATAAGCGAAATTTAAAAAATTGTTCGCCTAAGTTTAATCGTCAAAAATGTTGATAGTTTTGATAATGACCAATAACGAGCTAAAACTTTACATATTCACACCGTGTCATCCTATTATCAACTATCATATTGTTATATTGTTCTAATAATCGGCCGAAATCGGCACAAACCGGCTCATTTCGTACTATTTCATTAAGACTTGGTTGTAATAAAAGGCATTTTTTCAGAAAATGTTCGGTTGAAAAAAGACAACTATTTTTCTGCATTTCAAGTAAATTTTTCGTTTTAGCTCAACAGATAGCTTTAGGTATTCCAATCTAATCTAATAAAACTAACTTTCTCTACATTAAAATCTCCATTTAGTTGGGAACCTTGGGAAATTCACGCCTTATCTTTGGATGACACATATTGCATTGATTTTATTGCTTTATTTGTGTACAGATGATTCTATCCTCATTGTCGCTTTTTTGTATTGATTATACGAATTAAAGAATAGCTGGAAGAAATTTATCAGTTATGATGCAGTAGAGAATTTGGTTATGCAAAAAGAACCACTTCAGTTGAAAAACAGTTATTTATAAAATATTAATAAATATATTAAGCGATCAAATTAGGACAGTAAAAATTTTAGATAGCTCTAGAAAAATAAAAGCATTAGTCAATAACTGTTTTTCCAGTGTCTATGATTCAAACAGCTATGAAATTTTATGCATTCAGTAACAGTAAAAATTCAAAATTACACTGAGTAGTCCGTCATTTTTCAACTGATCAGCAACATGCAAAGAAAAACTTCTGAATAGAAAAGCTGAAGATTTAAACAAGATGCTCATAGAAGTTGGAAACCAATACTTAAACAATTTAAAATAACAGTCGAAATCTCTCAAATTTCATCACAAACTGGGATTCATAAGCATAATGTATCGTCTTACATAGAGACTGCTTTAAAAAAAGAAACTGTTTTCCGATTATGGCTTTCCAATCATCATAAATAGATTAGATATCATTAAACTTATGAATGTTTACTTCACTTATGAACGTTTGAGACATTTGTTATGAATGCAAAGAACTAAGAAAGTTCCTTCTTCAGTTAGTAAGCAGATGAGAGTCACAGTTTTTTCAAGCCAAGAAATCCTTCAAGTTGAATTCGCAGACCTGACTTAACAAATGGTTGAATGGTTGAAATTGAAATGCGACATATGATCAATGAAACACTGAAACAAAATTATTCACTTTTTGCCGTTGTGACTAATTTATTTATTTTATTAAAAAAATTTTCATCGAAAATAAAGTTAAAATAGAAAGAAAAAACTGGTCGCAACGTCATATGACACATTTAATGTGATTAATGACAGGAAAAATAAAATGTATTACTGATAAATGATAGACGCGTTGGGAGTAAATTTTTCGAGAATTAAAACGATCGAGAGCAATCATTGTCCATTGTTTGAAATAAGTATGATGAAAATATATACAACTTCATTATTGGTCATCCTTGGTCTTCATATTTGCGTTATGTATTGTTTCCCCTCAGCAATTCCATGTTATATTCTCGATTTATCAGTTTAAAAGATCATTCTCTTAAGTAAAGAAATAAAATTAATTTTAGAACTTTCATTTATATGAGCTATAAATAGATAAATCCTTTTATTTATGATCATTAGAAAACCTTTAAAAATATCAATTTGCTAGAGTTTTTTGGCCAAGCTAATTGTGATGAGCCAGTTTAAAATGGTTTAGTAGAAAACTAGATCTACCTAGAATCCATCTACAAATGGAATTTGGACCATAGTTTCTTCTAATCTGCTGGTTACTTTTGGAATTCTATTTAGGTAGATAATCAATTACTGCATTGATTACTAGATTCCAGTGATGTCACTGGAATTATTTTGAACTGGAATTAAGCAAGAATTCACTGATTCTTTTATAAATTGTTTTCTATAAAATATCCTGTAGCACTTGCTAGCAGTTCACTCTTTCTCTCGTGATTCAATTATAAGTTTAGGAATTTTCGATATTCAAAGCCACAATTGTTCGTAGCTTCATTATGGTGCTTTTCATTATGTCTCTATTCATGCCTATGGCCTCAGGGTTTTTATTCGGAAATTTGCAAAGCAGTTGTTCCTGTCCATCGGTTCCACTTTGCCCTCCTCAACCAACGTGTCAACATGGTATTTTATTCCAAATACTTTTTATCAAAAACTTGGTAATCTGCAGTCACATTTCAGTAAATTTTCTACTTAAAATTGCAAAATCCTATAATCACATTTTTATAAATTTTTTTTAGCACAAACCCATTTTTAAGAAACATTTTGCCAACGGTAAAGGTATTTATGTAGCAGAATTCAGTTGCAAATTTCCGCAGGAGGTAAGAAATAACTCACACTTGGAATAGCCAAAGGTAATTTCGATTGCAGCTGACTCACTTTTGTTGTTTCTTGTAGACCGATTTTGTCCACCACCGTCAGAGTGCACTAGCGCTGCAAATCGGATCATAGCGCCACCATTACCACTGCCACCATCACCATCAGCACCTTCATTGCAATTGTTCTTGCCAAAAACTCCAGGCTATGCCTCTGAACCATTTAATCCTTTTCAGCAACAATATACAACAAGTGAAGTAAGTAAACCAGTTTTATTCAATTAAATGAACTACGAATAGAGAGTAGAATTCGTTTAATCATGCTGAATAACCCAGGAAAAATTTTATCAATGCTTCAAAGAAGAATTAAATTATTAAAGCTGAGAAAAGATAATAAATTCTGCAATAAAAATTGTATTTTTTGACTATTAACCAACTAATTCTATTAAATTATAATGTGATTCTCATAGGAACATTCGCAACCAATGGGAAATCAACACTTTGGCGATCGATCTTATCAACTTAGCAAATTTGATGTATTATCTTATGGTAGTCCGCGTGAATTTAATATTCCATTTTATGGCGGTCCGAGCGTCTCGTATAGCAAGGCTCAGTCGAAGTCATACAATGGAGCTGGCTTTTCAAAATACAGTGGACCGTCTGCATCTAAAGAACGATTCAATCATTTTCCTCACCAACCTTATCACAAAAACCCGTCTTCGCCACCGGTATGTGAATATAGTGATTAAATTGCTTTTCTGTGATGTTTTTAATCTTTACATTAATATACATTAATATCTAAATGAATCGTTATAATTTATTAAAAACACGATATACATACATATATTTATACACAATACAGAATAAATAGACCATATACACATATTTTTATAGAATTTACACCACTGCTGATTAGGCTCGCACCGCTGGCTTGTTGGACTAGAAGAATTTTACTAGGGAATCGCTTGGCGATAGAAATATAGGTGAGCCGTCAGCATCACCTGCATATATATGTGTATATATAGTGTGCCAATGGCAGTTGCCATCGAGAATCGAAGCTTAGTATTAGTATCGGACCTGTCCAAAAATCCAGATTAGACAATCTGGATTTCGACCAGCCAACGGAGCAAGTCTAACCAGCACTGGCGATTGATCTAAAAAAAATATGTTTCATATATATCAATATATATATATACATATAAGGAATGTACATATAATAATAATTTATGGGGCACTGGTGATCGAATCGTATTTACCTTTAGCTGTGAGTTAACAGCATGTGCTCCATTCTTGCAAGCAGCTTGACAGAATTAAAAGTGAAGGTGACTGCTAAGGAATCCGGAGTACTTCTATAACTGAATTATTCTATGGCAATATGGTCTCACTTTAGTAGCCAGCAGAGCCAAACCAGAAATGGTGCTTGTTGTTGGAAGAATAATTTGCAAAGCTTGTTGTTTTAATGATTTGTTTGCTCGAAAAAAATGCGGCTACAAATAAAATGATAATAATTGAGAAAAAAAGTTTAAATATTTTATCTTGCTGCTTCAACACGGCATTCGAAATCCATTATGATTTTTAAACTATTGACCACTTTGTGAGCAAATATTATTTGCACGCAAGTTCCAGTTTGTCAGTCTTGTTTTCTTGTGTCTTCTTAAAGTATGCTAAGAATTAACAGCTTAGGCTTGCTGAACAATAATTAAGATATGTTCCTATATATTTCTCTTTTTGAACTCATTGTTTGATTTTTTTCGCGCTAGTCTATATAGTGATTGAATGTGGGTCAATATATGTAAAAAATGCAGGTAACTAAGATAAAATCAACTATTTGTAAAAGGAATATAATAGAGATTGAACAACAAATATTTTCCAGGTCAGTGTGCCTGAAATTTATCAGCGGATGCAATCTATCCGTATTCAACCTCCACGAATTAAGGTAAAATATTTTTGTTCATCAAAAAGAGAAAAGTTTTGCAAATTTTCAAAAATCACAGAATAGCAAATAAATTTGTCAAAAATAAAAGTCAAAATTTAAAATTTATTAGCAATTTTTCAACCATTTCTAATTTTTCTGAGGTATTTTTTTATTGTTTAATAAGCTTGCTATGCTTGGTGATGCCACTTTTTGATTTTTTTATACCTTTTACTTTTAATATATCATTTATCTTCTTGTGGGCTATATTTGCATGAATCTTCTTCTTGATGTTCCTTAGTTTACAGTTCGTTAAAAATATTAAGCATTTTTTAATTTTAATTTTAATTTTTTAATTTTTAGTACTTTTATATTAAAAATAATTAGTGATAATTGCAGCAAGTTAACGTCCAACCATCATTTTTGAAATCTGAAATCTTGCCGAAGGATGATAATTCAGGAACATTGTTACATACAGACAATGAAATAGCTGATGAGCAAAGTTTCAAAAAGTCTACACCACTCATGGCGGTTATTTGTTTTGATATTAAATAATTAAAACCATTTTTAAACACAATGAAAACTCAATTTTTTTCTGTAAGAAATTTTAATTTTGTGAAATATTTCAAAAAGTCATTTTCTTTTGAATTTAAATTAATTAAAGGAACTCGATGACGATATTGCGAATACGAATTTGGAAAATTTTATGAGTTTAACTGATTCCAATTTCAACAATATAAGTGATACTTCACTGGAAAATATTCCAACTCCAGTACCCATTTCATCATTAACAATAACCAACGACACAAAGTGCAATAACGAAGAACTTCGAGCAATCCTCCTTGAGGTAGTTCATAAACCTTTACAAAACTACATATTTCATAACTACATATTTTGACAATGGAGCAGGGAATTTTTTTGTTCAGTTAGCGAGTAATAATTTTTTTTTTTTCTCTAGAAAAAAACTTGTTTATTTAGGCTTATTTCAGTGTAGGCTGTACATATTTTCGACTTTTTGTATTCTTTTTATTTATGAACAGTGAATTCTTTCGTATTTTATATTTGGCTCAGTGATTCGTTTTTGATACTGAAAATCATTCATACTTAATTTATGTCAATCAACTTTGTTATAATTTGTCTTATTTTCTTTCATTACATAATATATTTGTGCAGTGAGAATCATATGAACTATTTATTATTCAGTGCTTTCAGCATTCCGAGATTTCGCCTAAAAGTGGTGATAAGTAGTTGCTATATAATCGAATTGCTAGGAGACTAGAAGAGTTTCGAAATGATAATTAACTGAACTGGGTACCAGTTGTGGATATATCAGCATTTACTTAATTAATTATAATTAGTAATCAAGCCCGTGTATAAAAGTACATCTTCTACTAGAGCTTTCACACCCATTATTTTTCAATTTTTTCCATTAACAAATGCTGCGCCAAGATTAACCACATAATTCCAATTTTTTTTTGTTTGCTTTTTCCGAAATCTTGCATTGCTATTTTTATTTATTCATTCTCCAAATCATTCTCGTACTTATAAATTATTTATCGAATCGGATCTCCTTCTCTTATTTTTTTTCCTTCTTTTTTAAGAGGCGTACACCATTTCTAGCTAAACCTAAACTGATTCCGATAGCTTATCGGGCTCTATAAATTTTGCTGGAGAATCACTTGGCAATAGAAGTGCAGCTGTTGTCAGCATCATTCGAGTTTTTTAAAGATAGGTTGCTGATGCAAAGGAGAGTAGAATTCAAACATCGGTCCTCAGGAGTGGAAGCAACAACTCACCTAACCATTCCTTTTTTTATTTCTGATTATTTAAAAATAGCTAATTAAGCAACTGTATTGCAGATCGCTGTTATTTTTTTTTAGAATATTGATGAAGACATGAATATCGCGAAACGCCAAATTCAGTTGGCTGCTGAAGCGCAATTCGGCGGATTTTTCGATGTAATTTGTTCGAGAGGTGATTTCTCATATTTGAGTAACACTGAACTTTTTTGTCAAGAAACCAGTAAGGATATCAGTTGCTATGCTTATCGTCAACTTGCGAGTTCGCTTTAAGCTAAATTTTATATGATTTTATTACTTCTATAATTTTATTACTTTTATTTTATTTTATTACTTATTTTGTAATTTATATGAAAAAATGAAGCGATCTAATGAATAAATTGCTTGAAACTTTTTGGCAAGTAATTTTTCAAGTGATTCTTTAATTGGCGAATTATCGTACCCAAACCTAAATTAATAATGATCATCATCATTTCATCTTTCATCAACTATTTTTCTGATTTTATCTAAAATTTTAACCTTTCAGTAATATAAAATAAAATGAAGCTCCATTTTTTTCTTTTCACATTTCATTAATCAGTTTTATTCTAAATGAATTTCTTTTCGAATATTTTTAATATCAATAAAAATGCTTGGCGTTCACCACTTTTGATTAGATCATCTTTGCTAATACGGTTCAAAATTTTTGCCATGGAGACATTTGGCTACTGGAGACTTTATGTCAAAGATAACTTGAATGATAATTTGAGAATTAGGGATCAATGAAATAAATGAATTATTGACAAAATGGACAAATATTCCTAATAAATTGTTGAAGAGCAAATTTTTGAGACATATGTTGCAGATTCGACATGCATTTCATTATCTTTCATTTCCGCAGTAATTAATTTCACTTTTTCTTCTTTCATATCATTTAATATCTTTCATATCATTTCATATCATCTGCGAGTAGGCAACCTCATTTATTTTTTCCTTTCTTTATTATTTGTCATTCATTTAGAAAAAATTTTTTTGGAAATCTGTTCAGTTTTCTTTGTTATCGCCAACAATAAATTATTTCCTCACATAATTCTCACACATTTTTTGAAGTGTTCTTTCTGATTTTTTTGATCTTATGTCTATCAAATGCATAACTTCATTTGCAATTAAATCGAGTGGTTTCTTTTCTGTAGTTGTTAATTTTTTTTTGTTCAGAACATAAGTATTATAAATGGCATAGTCAAACTTTACATTTTATAGTTTTCTTCTTAAAATAATCAACTTCACTGAAAGTTATCTGGATTCAGCATATTTACCTTATTAATAGCACATATTTCAGAATGAGTAAGTATTTCAAAGAATATGCATTGGTTTCAACAATCTTTATAACTTTCTGAGTAGAAGCAAAATGGCAAAATGGCAAGGTGTAATGGTAAACTTAATCTCTGCAGGTTCTAGATCAATTTTCATATCAATTTTCATGTAATATCTGCATATTCTAGCATTACACCTATCTTAGAATCAGTGATTTCTGCTCCAGCTCCAACCGCTCAGCTAAGAAAAAATAATTCTGACTCTCTCCATAAACAAAAATTTAGCCCTTGTATCGTATTCTTAAGAAGAATTCGATTCGTTTTTTGATCTAATGTAAAGAATCGACTGTGCAAAGAACAGATTTATTTCGGCATATTTCGGCATATTCGGCATGATCGAATAATATGAATTCCTCCTATTAATTACCGTACAATTCTTTATTAAGTATTCATGCAACTAATCGTGTGACCATACCAAAATTAAAAAAGTTTCTAATATTACATTGTTGGAATCATATAATTATAGATTCATAGATGATAAAATCTAGTTGCCGAATGCCATTATTTTAAATCAAGTGCGTTAGCACAGAAATGGGTATTTCTCGACAAAGTGCTGGTGTCTTTTTACTGTAAGAAAAATAAAGGTTCTGGATAGCGACAACCTTAATAATTTTTTCATCAGTTTTATTTTCGGTATTTTCCATTCACTCATGATAATCATGGTGATTTAAACAACTATTTGCAAAGAAAGAGATTTTGCTTGAATACGTTGTTTGAATGAAAATGTAGATAATCTTTTCCATTATAAGCCCGTTGTGAGAATCATGAGTGAATCCTTTTTGAAGAAAATCTGATTTTAAACCAGGTTTCATACCAGGTTACCAGCTATTCCTTTAAATTAAAAAATGAAAAACAAGTGAAACAGCCTAAACAGTTAAACACTTTAGACTGAATCAATTTCATGAATTTCATGAAAAACATTTATTGAAATTTCGATTGAAAAAAAAAGAAAATACTGATAAATGGATAAATGGATAGAAATAGAGAGCCTTCTAATTCCATATTCAATATTTTGTGTTTTTTAATTCAATACTTCTATTTTTTTTGAGTGTAGATGTGTAAATGACAAATGAGATTCCTGTAAAGTAATACATTAGCCAAAATATATTAATTACGGCAAAAAACTTTTTGGAGTCCGTTAAATGCCGAGGTTTTTTCATCGTAGTTTGTCGTAATTCTTTTTGTTATTGTTGCTTATAAGACGTTCAGTTTCTTTTCACCATTTAATACTGAGGGCTGAAAAATAATTGAATGAACATTTTCTTAGTAATAGTGACAATTTTTAAAAGAAGGAACTTTTACTAACCTAAGTATTCATGCAACTAATCGTGTGACCATACCAAAATTAAAAAAGTTTCTAATATTACATTGTTGAAATCATATAATTATAAATTCATAGATGATAAAATCTAGTTGTCGAATGCCATTATTTGGAGCATAGAACATATAATGCAATTTAAATAGAAGCGAAAAAATTGGCATATCATGAATTATGATAAGTAATTACGGAGAAAACTTTTGCATTTCACGATTTTATGAAAACTTTCAATTTTTTGATAATTTCTTAGAAATAATAAATATCATTGCGACAAGGAAAAAATGAAAAAAAGCGTTATTGGTTTCGCTAAATAAAAAATGTTTAATAGAAAGACTTGCATTTTTATTATAAATTCGTTTCACTAATATTATCAAAGTAGCTGGGCCGAATTTATCGGATATTTTGATGGTTTGTCCTGAATAAACTTGGAATTTCTCATAAATTATTTGTCTCGACTATAAAGCTTTTTTTTCGATATCCCTTTGTTTAAAACATTTTTAACCATTTTCTGCATAAACCATTCGATTCGAGACTTTGTTTTCATAGTTATTTAACAATTTATTCCTTAAGGATAGCTCGACATTATAATGCGCTAATGCTTATTGTCGATATTAATATTAAACGGCTTATTTTTAACATTTCAGTTAATCCATTTAAACGTGTTAAAATATAAAATTTAAATATAAAATATAAAATTTGTGTATTTTGTTTAAATAGATTAAGAAGTTTTGCATCGTTTAGTATAATTTATCGTTATTTAACTTTTGCGATCCATAATTGATTTTCAACGCATAGAGTAAATGAGGGAAATAATGATAATCCGTTCGTGATTGTTTGACTCATTAAAATATTTTTTTGCTGATTAAATTAAATAATTCGTAGTTAAAGTTAAAAGTGATGCCGCTTCGAATTTTGTATAAAATTGCTCCGTAAAATAAAGCATTTAGGTTCAATTTTTTGTGGTATAAACAAAAATTGATTAAAAAACGACTGTTTTCATTGTGCCAACATAATCTCAAAGGAATAATTGATAATTAAGTTAAAAATTTTTCTTTATGGAAAGAAAAATGGTTAAAGTATAGTTAATCACATTAATTCCTTAACTTTTCGTTTTCATCGTGCATTTAAAACTTAAACTTTTAATTTAAAACTTAAAATTTAAAATTTAAAACTTTTAAAATTAAAATTTAAAACTTAAATTTAAAACTTAAAACTTATTTAAAATTTTTAACTTAAAAATTTAAAACTTTGTCAGGAGAACAAGCGAGGAAATAAATAGTCATACATGCATGGCCCAAGTCAAAAAGATTAGAAAGAAGTGGTGGGTAGACTTTCTCCTGCAGTAACCATGTTGATAAGAATTAAATTATTCGCTCAAATATAATCTTTGGTACATGTGCCCTTTCTGTCACTCTATTACTATAATTAAATATATATATATATATATATATATATATGGTCCTCATAAAACTATGCCATAAAAAATCAGTTCATGAATGCTGGAATTAATACAAAACTACGATATATCTTTAACTAATAGTTTGTTGAATTATGGCTGATAGTTTGACTTCTATCCCTGGCATTTCCATTAAAATAATCGGTGATGCTGGTCATTGCCCTGGCCAAATGGCTCTCTAGAAAAGCTATTTTTCCGACAAACAATGGGGTGAATACTCGACCGAAAATAATTAATGCCAACCATTTATTTGATATAATTTGTGGCTTAAGTCAAATTACTCTGTTTATCAGTTATATCAGAAATATCACTTTTTTTCGTTTTGAACATCGCGAAAAACATATACAATTATATTCCTCCACAACAAAATTTATTATGCATTGTTTCGTAATCGATTTATGCGATAAAATTAATTGCTTTGCGCTAAGCGAATTATTCGCAGCTTTGTTTGGCAATTATTTATTATTTTCGGTAATTTGAAATACGATTTCTCATATAAATAATTTAATGCGAAATCAGCATATCAAAAAACTAGCAGAACGAATTATGAATCAAAGTATTACAATTTTTTCTCATTTATGAATAAACTGATTAGATTTGGCATATTGTTGCTTTTTTTGCAAAACCTGTAAAAATTTGTGAAAAAAGTATTCATTTTTTCCTTATAAGAAGACCCTAATTTAACTGCATCAACTAATGAATTTCAATTTCCCTAAATAATTGAGAGAGGTCAAAAATTAATTAAAATTAAAATTAAAAATTAATCGACGTTTTTTTCAGCATTTTTATGTGATTTATTACAACATTCAGTTAATCTTGAAAATTTTACCTATAATTATTGGTTACAGACACCTCTTGTTTTTCGATAAAATTTACTTTTCGGCTTTTTTCGAATAAAGTTTATTGTGCTTTTATGCGATTATTTTTACATTTTCCATCTTTTGCAAACGATGAATTGAACCAATTGAATTAATTTTTAGAAGGCCTGAATTTTAAGAAATAGTTAAAGACCAATCAAGTCTGCCATTTGTAATCAGTACATATCAGATCTCCTCATTTGTGTCATTCTTGCTACTAAATCAATTTTTGCAGATTTGATCTGTTTTTTTTCAGGAATTGATATCGTTATACGATATATTTAAGAAAT